TATCCCACATTAAAGTTTATCTCTTTTCTCAACCATTATAAAACCCAACTTCTCATAACCAAACTTAACCATCTCTCCCAAAAACCAAAACTCCCAACAGCACTCTCAAAAACCCTAAATCTCAATTCTTTCATCATTCTCTCATGACTTCACATTCAAAGAGGAAGATTTCAGCACAAAGCAAAGACAAAGGTCCAACGTCTTCATCTTCAGAGTCTCCACTTGTTCTTCAACACTTGAACGATGAACAAAGAGAAAGGTTCACTAAATACTTTCAGAAGAACGTTGTGCAAACACCAAAATACGGTATTCTCTCATCATTTCCTAAAGAATGTTTTTCTTTTCAAGAATCTTTGATTGCATGTGATGTGACCAAGGGTAAATAGGTCAGCCTCCCCTGTTGGAGGGGAAGAAAGGTAAACTTTCCACCAAAAGGTTGAACTTAGACAATTGGATCGTTCTGGGAGCAGAAGTGGTTTGGGTCATGCCTAGCCGTTGGATTGGGGCAGTCCGAAACATTTTGAAAAATAATATAGTATTTTTTTTATATAAACGCATATTAATTTTTAAAGGAATAAATAATATTAAAAAAATTACTTACAATTATATAATAAATCACAAGAGATTTAAAATAATAATTAAATTATGACTAACCTCATAGATATAGATAGTATGACAGGAAGAGAGTCATCGACATTTAATAACTTTTAGAATATTGTAACATCATTTAAAACTTATAAATCAATGATAAATTATTATATTAAAATATAAGACTTATTTATATATTTAAAAAATACAAGAATAATATAATTGGCTTAATTGCAACTATGGTCTCCCTATTTTGCATTTTTTTGGGTTTTGATTTCTCCATTTTAAAAACCACTATTTTGGTCCATTTTTTAAATTATGAGTTTGATTTTAGTCACGTCACCAATTTGAGACATTTTTTTAATGATGTGGTGTTATCCAAGTCATTTTAAAATTAATTTGAGACTTTAATTATTGATTAGGATAATTAATTTATTAATATTATTTTTATTAATAAATAAATAAATTATTAATTTTTATGTTTAATTAATTAATCAATATTTTAAATGAAACACTTTGGGCCTAACCTTTTTGTCTCATATCTTTGGTCCATCTTTTTAACACAATTGATTTATTATGTTTGTGTAAGATATATAAACACTAACAACACTTGTAATGAAAACAATGTGAGACTACTATAACACCATCTACTATTATGCTATGTTATCTATCTCATCTTTTCACCCTCTCTCTGTAGCTCTCTCTCCATAATTAATATCACTCAAACCTTCTGAGATGAATCTTGGAGCTCACCAAATATAGAACAAATATCATGTTCAAAGATAATCTATTTGTAAGATTTTTCATATTATAGTAGAATTGGAGCTATTGTTCTTATGAAATATGAGTTTTTTTGGTTTAATCATTGTTATCTAGCACTGGTGTTAAAAATATTAATTATGGGTGATAGTTACATGCTTTGAATCTCTTCTCCATATAAAGTCAGGACCGTACTCCATCCTTATCCTCTAGCTCACATCTCCCAGGGTTGTAACCTTCATTTTTTTTTTGGACATTTGTGCACACTGCCAAATGGTTAGCCATTAAACATGCTGATTTAGATGTAGTAAATAGTGAAATCTCTAAAGCAAATAATTTCCTTCAAAGAGCTATAGCAGTAGTGACATTTCTTTCAACAAATAGATCAAACTTTGAATGTACATTGAATTAGAGAAAAAAGAAAGAAATAGATAAATTATTAGAACAACTAAGACAAGGGAATTTCTGACCTCTGGCAAGCTGTATGAATGAGAAATGTGAATGGAAATCAAGCCTTTCGCCAACCATGACAGTAGCTCCTTGACAGAATCTTCAAGAACTACTGGGCAGTGTATTTTATAACTACCTCAATAAAGCTCATGTATTTTCCAATTCTGCCAGTGATTGTAATCCTAAAAAAAGAACAATATCCAACAATTAATACTAGGTATAGCATAATTAATATAAATATGCAATAAGGGCAATGGAAAAGAAAGGACTCAACAGACGTTTGCAGATCCAAAGATAACACTAGTTTAGTTCTGTTGTTTGTAAAAAATTTAGCCATAAAAGTGTTGCAACAATTTCATCACAATGGTGTCTATGTACTTCATAATCCTAAAGTTTCATTTAGCAGGTAAATATCACATCTCACAATCTTGGAATAGAACCATAGGTCAGTTGTTTAGTGATGACTGATGAGATAGAAAAGGACAATATTATATTGACATTTTGTGTGGCTTTGGGTTTTGTTCTGCTTTAGATACATAGCATAAAGTAAGAATAGTATTTAAGAAGGAATTTTTCAGCATCATTTTCTTAAAGGAAAGAGAGATCAAATCAATATTGATGGGAGATGTAATCCCTCCATATCTCTTCCCAATTGATTCTTATATTAATATAATTTTAAATTCAAAATGTATGTGAATAAAGTATGATAAGATCAAGAAACAAGAAATCAGGCATGAAGTTATTTAGTGATTTCAAGAGCTGTACCTTTTCAGCTCCCCTAACACCAGATGATGCGAAATAAGAAACGCTCAACTCCAACGGATACCAGGTTAGATATTAAAATACAAAACGTTTAAAAAAACTGTCACCTTCTATTCTATTTATTTTCAAGTAGGAAATCTAGCACAAAAGGTCAAACACAGGATGTCATATTATAGAGAAAGAGCTGAGAAAAAGATAAGAAAGCGTAAGAATGCTTGTGGTACTAGACCGTATGACAGACATAATAGTAGATGGTGTTATAGTAGTCCCACATTGTTTTTATTACAAGTGTTGTTAGTGTTTATATATTTTACACAAACATAACAAATCAATTGTATGTTAAAAAATGGACCAAAGACATGGGACAAAAATGTTGGACCCAAAGTGTTTCATTTTAAATTTTGATTAATTAATTAAATATAAAAATTAATAATAAAAAATTAATAATTTATTTATTTATTAATAAATTAATTATCCTAATCAATAATTAAAGTCTCAAATTAATTTTAAAATGACTTGGCATTGCCACCTCATCTTAAATAGCGCCACATCATTAAAAAATGTCTCAAATTGGAGAGGAGATTAAAATCAAACTCAAAACTTAAAAAAAGACCAAACACAAAATGGAGGGATCAAAACCCAAAAAAATACAAAATAGGAGAACCATTGTTATAATTAAGCCAATATAATTTAAATTGTCTTAAAGATAATTATCATATTTTATCAACGAAAAGGTAAATATTTAGGCAAGGTATAATTTAATAATAAAATTATTATAAATTCAAAAAACACAATATTTACATCATATAGATATTTTTGAATTTATTATATATAAAAATTTTAGATATGTATGAAATTTAAATTTATTCCAAAATTATAAAAAAGGTAAATAATTGATCATAATACAATATTAAAATTAATTAATTAATAATAATTTATATTTGAAGATCGAAAGATATTACAATATTAAGGAATATTCTGCCAAAACCATCAGAATATTTAATGCTAATTAATTAGAAAAAAAAGTTAAATTATCTATACACCTTACATTAGCACATTTATGTACTTTTTAGTTTCATGCGCTTTTAATTTTATGTATTTTTTTAACTTTTAAAAATCGTTCACTACTATGACATATATAATTATTTTTTATACCATATTATCTATTCCAATGTCATACTATACTAATATATATCATATATTGTATATTTTCTAATATTTTCATATAAATATTTAATTTAAAAATAATTTTAAATATCTAATACTTTTTTATAATATTTAATTTAAAAATAGTTTTAAATATCTATTCTATACATACTTTTATTTTCTAAATTATTTTATAGAAATACCTTTGAATATATATATATATATATATATATATATATATATATATATATATATATATATATATATATATATATATATATATATATATATATATATATATATATATATATATATATATATATATATATATATATATATATATATATATATATATATATTAAGAATTTTATACTTTTAATATATTATATATTTGCCCCTATTCATTAATATTTCTGCTTACGTCCCGCTTACGTCCCTGTTTGGAGAGTAGCAGTGTTTTAAAAACCGGACCAGACCGGCCGGTCGGACCGGTCGAACCGGGAACCGGCCTATTAACCGGTCTGGTTTACTAGTTCGATCGTCTGTGTCATCAAACCGGTGAAAACCGGAAAAAATCGGGTTGGACCGGGAAAAACCGGGTTTAGGGTCGGACCGGTTCTAATGCATTTTTTATTTTTTAATTAAAATTTAAATGCAAAAGTTATAAAAATTAAAATAAAAAAAATTGTTTTGATTGTTTTGAAATAATTTTACGTAGACATTAGAGTTATTTTATTATAAATTATTCAATTATATTATATTGCAATTAGATTTTGTAATTTTGTATTATTTTGTTATGTGTGATACATTTGTTTAAAATTTGAATTTAAATTATGAACTTGTGAATTTATGATATGATATTTTCAAAAAATTTAATTACTAGTTATATTTTTTTAGAAACTAAATCATCCGGTTCGACCGATTTTATATCTATATAATGACAGGTCTATTCAACCGAGTTATCCGGTTTAATCCGGTTTAATCATGCGGTTCGACCAGTGACCCAGTGGTTTGACCGATAAACCAGTGACCCAATACCCTCACCGGTTCGATGACCGGTCCGGTTTTTAAAACACTGGAGAGTAGTATGTGAGACAATTATTCTTAACACTTTAAATTAAACAAATATTGATATTGAGTTGTAATCTAGAAAGTAACCCGGTATATATGGTAAACTATACTATAGTAGAGGAATATTCCATCCCAGCATATTATATATGGTAACCCAGCATATATGGTAAACTATACTATTGTTCAATTCACTACTCTCACACGCAGTCTCTCTAGCTGTGGAGATGAAAAAGAGGCTCATGCATGCTGTTCAATACAATTCCTATGGTGGAGGACCCAATGCCTTAAAGGTTCCTCAACTTCATTTTTTTATTCTATTCTTTCACATGTAATATCCGTTTTTGTTTAAGCAGATAGTAAATATTTGTTTATAATTTTGACTTATTGCAGCATGTTGAAGTTCCCATACCCAGTCCTCTTAAAGACGAGGTTTTGATAAAATTGGAAGCAGCTAGTATAAATCCACTTGATTGGAAAATACAGAATCGCATTTTGTGGCCAATTTTGCCTAGCAAATTTCCATATATACCATGTAACTCTCTAGATATTCATCGTATCGAAGAGAGATGAGAGGTTTAGAACTCAAACATATAAGAATATTCATCTTTACCATATATGCATTCTGTAATAGGTATGGATGTAGCAGGAGAGGTCATGGAGGTTGGTAAAGGTGTTAGAAACTTTAAAGCTGGTGACAAAGTTGTAGGCTTGACAAGTCCCTTTGTAAGTTTTTTTCTTACTATTTAGTCATTTTCATTGATGAATAGTTTCTTTGACTATTTAACTTATATGTCCCATTTCAATATAATATTTTTTTTGAGACATAAAATTATATTATGCTAGAGTGGTGGAGGACTAGCTGAGTATACGGTTGTTAAGGAGAGTGTCGCTGCCTTACGACCACCAGAAATCTCGGCGTCCGAATTCGCCGGCTTACCTGTTGCCGGTATAACAGCTCTTCAAGCACTTTCCCAAACAATAGGAATCAAACTCGACGGAAGTGGTGAACGGAAAAATATTTTGATCACTGCTGCATCAGGTGGAGTAGGCCACTATGCAGTTCAATTAGCAAAGTTGGGCAACACTCATGTGACGGCTACCTGCGGGGCTCGAAACATCGAATTCGTGAAAAGCTTAGGAGCTGATGAGGTGATTGATTATAAGACACCAGAAGGTGCTGCATTAAAGAGTCCATCCGGTAAGAAATATGATGCAGTGATTCATTGTGCAAATGAGTTTCCATGGTCAGTTTTTGAGCCAACTTTAAGCATGAATGGTAAGGTTGTAGACATGAGTCCCACCCCTGGTTCAGTGATCAGTTTTGCTCTTAAGAAACTTACCTTCCCCAAAAAACAACTTGTCCCATTGTTTTTACTTCCAAATAGTAGGGATCTTCAATATCTTGTTGATTTGGTTAAGCAAGGAAAACTTCGAACAGTTATTGACTCCAAATATCCTTTAACAAAAGCTGAAGATGGTTGGGCTAAGTGTGTTGATGGTCATGCAACTGGAAAGATCATTGTTGAGTTCTAAATATGCAGTAGAAGCAGTATGGTGCTCTATAATAAATAAGTATTATTAGAATACCCTTTTATGTAGATGTGTTTTAAACAACCAGTCTAATCATCTATTATATAATGAATGTAACTTTCTTAATGTAAAAAAGTAATACTTTTCAAATTTTAGTAGTGAAAATTGTTGGTGCAAAGATAGAATAAATGATGAAATAGGAAATATTACTAATAAGAGAATGACGGCTACAAAACATGATTTTTGTTACAATGATTGTCACCCTATTTATAAGCTAAAACTAGGGTTACTAGAATAAGATAAATACTAAAATACCCTCTAACAAACTTAGGGGCTAAGAAAATAGTACAACTAAATAAATATGAATTATTAATAATATTCTAATACCATCCCTTAATTCATATTCCATCAAAACTTGTGACACCAATTCCATCCCTTAATCTGAGAAATTGATCAGTTTTGATAGCTTTCGTCAGAACATCTGCCAACTGCTTCTGAGTGCTGCAGTGTACAACTTCTAACACTCCACTCTGAACTTGATGTCTCAGAAAATGATACTTGGTCTCAATATGCTTGCTTCTCCCATGCAACACTGGGTTTCTAGCAAGATTGATTGCAGACTTATTGTCAATCATCAACTTCAGAGGTTTGTCTACTTTAATCTTCAGATCCTGCAACAGATTCAGAATCCACACAGCTTGGCATGCAGTAACAGCACCTGCAATGTATTCAGCTTCACAGGTTGACAACGCCACAACAGGTTGCTTCTTGGAACACCAAGAAATGGGACCTCCCAGAAATTTGAACAAGTACCCAGATGTACTTCTTCTGTCAACTCTGTCTCCACACCAATCAGAGTCTGAATAACTCAGAAGTTCTGACTCATTATTTCCTCCAGAGGGAAATAACACTCCATACTTCAGAGTTCCTTTGATATACCTCAGAATCCTGACAGCAGCTTGGTAGTGGGACCACTTAGGTTTACTCATGAACCTACTAACCATCCCAACTGAGTAGCAAATATCAGGTCTGGTATTGCACAGATACCTCAGAGAACCAACCAACTGTTTGAAGGTTGTAGCATCCACATCCTTTCCTTCAGAGTCTGAATCCAGTTTCTGATTTGTATCAGAAGGTGTGACAGCCATCTTACAATTCTTTAGATCAAATCTCTTCAGAAGTTCTAATTCATACTTGAGCTGATGCAAAATGATACCTTTCTCAGAATATCTGAACTCCATCCCTAGAAAGTATGTCATTTTGCCTAGATCAGTCATTTCAAATTCATTCATCAGAACTTTCTTGAACTTGGATATCTCCTGTTCAGAACTTCCAGTCAATAGTATATCATCAACATATAAACATACCAGAGTCATATTGCCTTCAGAAGTATGCTGAACATAGACACCGTACTCCATCTCACATTTCTGAAAGCCTTGCTTCTTGAAAAATGAATCAATCTTCTGATTCCAAGCTCTGGGCGCTTGTTTCAATCCATATAGAGCTTTGTATAGTCTGTACACCATCCCTTCCTGATTCTTTTTCACAAATCCAGGAGGTTGTGACACGTAAACTTCTTCTTCTAATGGACCATTCAGAAATGCAGATTTTACATCTAAATGCATCAGAGGCCAATTCCTGTTAGCAGCTATTGCAATCACCATTCTGATTGTTTCATGTCTTGCTACAGGTGCAAACACTTCAGAATAATCCAGCCCAGGTTTCTGTAGAAATCCTCTGGCTACCAACCTTGCTTTATGTTTGCCAATTGAGCCATCTGGCTTTAACTTCTGCTTGAAAACCCATCTGACGCTGATGGCTTTCTTGTCTTTTGGAAGTTCTGTCAGCTTCCAAGTCTTGTTTCTCTCTATAGCATCAAGTTCTTCTTTCATGGCCTTCAGCCAGAGCTTCTGCTTAAGAGCCTCCTCTGTACTTATAGGTTCAGAGTCTACTAACATGGCACACTGAATAACTTCTCCTTCAGAGTCTACTTCAGTGTCTTGCAGCATGTCAAATTCTGCAAATCTTCTGGGAACGCTTCTGATTCTTTGTGGTCTCTGAACTTGTTCAGAGTCTTGAGCTTCAGAGTTTCTAGCTTCAGATGATTGACCTCCAGAGCTTTGACCATCTTCAGAGTCTGGCATATTTCCAGAGTCTGAATTGCTACCAAGATCTGGATTGTCATCAGAGTCTGAATCACCAGAGTTTGGGTCATCAGAGTCTGGGTCATCAGAGTCACCTTCATCTTCTGAGTCTTCTTCAGAGTTTGAATCAGTATCAGAGTCATCAATTCTTAACTCTGACCTTTCTTCAGAGGTTCTAACATCAGAATCAGATTGAGACTTATCCCAATTCCAAACTTCTGATTCCTTCACAATCACATCTCTGCTGAATTCAATTTTATTGGTTTCTGGACAATAGAGCTTGTATGCACCTGTACTGTGGTACCCTATCAGAATCATCACTTTGCTTCTATCATCCAGCTTCTGTCTTCTGGCTTCTGGAACATGTTTATAGCAAACAGAACCAAATACCTTCAGATGACTAACACTTTGCTTGTCTCCAGTCCACTTCTGCATAGGAACTATTTCCTTCAACTTCTTCGTAGGACATCTGTTGAGTACATACGTTGCAGTGGCAACAGCTTCTCCCCAGAGCTTCTGAGGAAGCTTCTTCTCCTTTAGCATGCTTCTCACCATATCAAGCAGAGTGCGGTTTCTTCTTTCAGCAAGACCATTGTGTTGAGGGGTATAAGGAGCAGTAACCTCATGCTCAATTCCATTCTCCTTACAGAACTTCTGGAACTCTTTGGAGTTATACTCACCTCCACCATCAGTTCTAAGAATCTTCAACTTCTGACCACTCTGATTCTCAGCCTTCATTCTGAACTTCTTGAATTCATCAAACACCTCGTGTTTGAACTTTATAAGGGATACCCATGTCATTCTTGTGAATTCATCAACAAACAACACAAAGTATTTATTCCCTCCAATTGATGCTACTGGAAATGGACCACACACATCAGAATGTACAACTCCCAAGGCATGTTTTGCTCTTGGAGCAACTTCTGATGCAAATGGCAATCTTGGTTGTTTTCCTTCCATGCAAACTTTGCATGACTTTTCAGGCTTCTTAATTGCAGGAATTCCATGTACCAATTTCTTTGAATTCAGATGTTGTAAGCTTCTGAAATTCAAATGACCAAATCTTCTGTGCCACAGCTCACTCTCCTTCTCAGTACTTGTTGCACTAAGACACTCTGAGTCTGCAGTTCTGACATTCACCTTGAATGTTCTATTCCTTCCCTGTTCTGACTCCATAATCAACTTCTGATTACAGTCATACAGCTTCAGAAGATTGTCCTTCATGGTAACTGAAAAACCTTTCTCAATTAATTGTCCCACACTCATCAGATTGCTTCTGATGCCAGGTACATACCACACATTCTGAATCAATGCTATTTTCCCATTGTTCAGAGTCACTCTGACATTTCCCATACCTTCTGCATTAAGATATTTGTCATCAGCACATCTGATCTTTGTTCTCTTTTCAGAGTCAAAGTCAACCAGCCATTTCTTGTTTCCAGTAAGATGATTTGAACAGCCAGTGTCCATATACCACCAGTCTGTCAGATCCACATTATCAGATTCAGAGGCCATCAACAGCACAGATTCGTCATCAGAGCCTCTGGCTATATTTGCTTCTTCTGATTTCTTCTCCTTGTTTGACCAACAATCTCTAGCAAAATGGCCAAACTTCTTACAACAGTAACATTGTATTTTTCTTTTGTCATACTTCTCTTTTCCCCTCTGAGCATTCTTTTGTCTATCAGAGGTTGAGCTTTCTGACCTCTGACCACCATCAGATCTTCTCCTGACTTCTGACTGCTTCTGATACCTCCTATCAGAAGTTGTTTTCAGAGCCTGCTGTTCTACTTCCTTTTCAGAGTTTCTCTCAGTCAGACGCAACTCTTGCGCTTCTAGACTGCTCTGCAGCTCTTCAATTCTCATTGTGCTCAGATCTTTGGAATGTTCTATTGCTACCACAATGTAATCAAATTGAGGAGTAAGGGATCTCAACACTTTCTCCATGATTGTTTCTTCAGAAAGAGTTTCTCCACATGCCTTCATCTCATTAGTGATCAGAATCACTCTGGAGATGTATTCAGAAACTTTCTCATTATTCTTCATGTTGAGATTCTCATATTGCTTTCTCAAGGACTGAAGCTTCACCTTCTTCACTGATGCGTCACCACCATAACATCTCACCAGAGTGTCCCATGCAGCCTTTGCTGTTGTAGAGTCTGCAATCTTCTCAAACACGTTTACATCCACACATTGATGAATGAAGAACAATGCTTTCTGATCCTTCTTCCTTACTTCTTTCTGCGCGTTTTTCTGTTCATCAGTTGCATCTGCTGCTACTGGAACATAACCATCAGTGACAAGATCCAGAACATCTTGAGCACCAAACAGCACACGCATCTGGATCATCCAACGATTCCAGTTTTTACCGTCAAATACTGGAAGTTTGGTGTTCATGTTGCCGTTTCCGTTCATCTTCTTCTTTGCACAATACACTCAGAGTTTTCTCACACAGTGTTTCCCAACCCACAGAATTAAAAATTCTGATCAGATTTTGTTCAAGATTCAACAAGAATCTGAGAAACAAAATCAAACACACAAGACCTCACGTTCACTCGTGTTTCCCGTGTTTCCCAATGAATCTGAACCGGAGCTCTAGATACCAATTGTTGGTGCAAAGATAGAATAAATGATGAAATAGGAAATATTACTAATAAGAGAATGACGGCTACAAAACATGATTTTTGTTACAATGATTGTCACCCTATTTATAAGCTAAAACTAGGGTTACTAGAATAAGATAAATACTAAAATACCCTCTAACAAACTTAGGGGCTAAGAAAATAGTACAACTAAATAAATATGAATTATTAATAATATTCTAATAAAAATTTATCCTAAAAAAATAAAAGGGTTGTC